TACGCCACATCCAAATAGCGTGTTTAGCGCGAGTCTCTCTAAGTCCGAGCAATAAAAAGTAATGGGTGGGTGTCAACCGACGGCACCACAAGCGGTTCGACTTCCAAAAGTATCTCCAGTAGACACGCAGTATCTGTGGGTAGAGTGTGTCCATTAGGCTTGGCTGTGGAGATCTCCAAAGTGAGTAGTTATCCTGTTTTTATGACAGATGACATGGAAGTGGAGAGCACCTGCGGGCAGCTGAGCTCCACTCCACATGTAGTTCTATCAAACAGTACTTAGGCCACAGCAAGGAAATTTTATGGATGACATCCTATGCTGACTCCAAATCTAATGCGACAGGGCGAAAAAAAACAAGGCAGACCCCTTCCCCCCCCCCAAAAAAAAAGATTCCTACATTTTCAAATTTGACATCATGAACGTTATTAAACAAGAAATTATACCTATATAATGCATCACTGCAAGTAAAAGAAAAAACAATAAATCAGAGTCTTGTCTTCTCTCCTCTTTTCAAATTTATTTGCCATCCATGTTCCAGGATGGCAACAGACTTCTTTGCCCATTGTCGGCATGTTGACCACTGTCAGAAGGCAACAAAACCTCTTTTTTTCCGAAATCAGGCGAAAATTAATGCGCGAGCTGATGTCATCCATGAAAACTACTTGCTGTGGCCTTAGTTCGAGTACATGTAGCAGCTAAGGATAGATGGATGGAGACTGATGGACGGGAGAGATATATGGAGAGAAAAATGACGGACATGTGGAGGAAGATAAAAACAGGACTGACGGATGAAGAGAAGATGGAGAGATATGTCGAAGAGAAACAGGCTAGGAACAGTGTGTGTGGTTAGGCCATGTTGATTTGATTATATGGATGATATCCGCGAGCGCATGAATTTTCGGCCGTTTCCAAAAAAAAGATTTCAACCATACTGTAAATCGTACAAAACAGTTGCAAAATGAGTAAATATAAACCGTAAGTTACAAAAAAATATTGCAAAACGATACCAATGTCATAGAATGCCAAAATCAAACAAAAAGACGAAAATGTAAAGAAATCATTTTGAAGAGTAGATTATTCGCCATACCATACACTGTGTCATTTGTTCAACCTTCATGGCCACGTAGATAACCAACTTTATTTTTGCCAAACTTTTCTTTATTCGCACGCTCGCATAAGTTTTGGGGTTCCCAGAAGATGTCATCCATACAATCAAATCAGCATGGCCTTACATATAGTCTGGAATCTCAAACCATATGTAGGTAAATAACGATAACGGAGAGAAATATGATAGAGAAAGGAAGAAGCATTGCCGGAGTCATGTGTATTCCAATGTGTGTGGCCGCTTGATAGCTAGCCCCACAACATTTCATCAAATACTACTTCAGCTCAAAGGCAGACAAAGAAGAAACAGACATAAAGAATGATGAAAGCTGATTGAACGTCCTTGGTAAAAGTCAGTGCATTGGATCATTCATTTGACGAATGTTGACGAGTTCGACCTTCATCCCTGAATTCATGGTGCGTTCTTCTTTATCTGTTGGAACAAAGTTTAGACTTTTACCATTATGGATTCTACCAACACACCTGTGCTGAGACGTAAAGAAGTCGTATTAAGAACGCGTTAGGGGAGGTACACCTGTGAGAATGGCCACCTGAGACCTCGCTCCCACGGTAGGTCACCCTTCTGCGCAGGTCTGCCCACAGCGGTACTGAAGCATGCCGGGAGGTGGGGCCGGTGGCGGCGCGGATGACGTCAGCGTCCCAGGCGGACTGACTGGTCGGCGCGATGATTGATGTTTCACCGTCAATGTCAGCACCGATGTGCGCCGCCGTTTGCCCCTACGGGACGTAGGCGGCATCATCACGAACATTCACCCGACAGCACAGGGCCGTATCATGATCATCACCGTCTACATTATGTGCCAACAATTGTCCTTAGGGGAAGAACAAACCGTGCCAGCGTGGCATAACAAAGGAATCGTGTGCGATCTTTGGCCTCTGTAAATCTATATCCGTAGGCGAAACAAAATCAATGCGTTTGACCGTTTATCTGGCTACGTCAGCCCGTAATGTATTGGTGTTCTTGTATCTAGCGGAGTACAGCTGTCACTCATTGAACGGTCTCAAAAAGTGCGTTAAGTGTTCGAAGAGCTTTAGTTGTCTGTCATGACAGAAAGGACGACACGTTGCGATACAAAGTTGTTCGATCTTTCGCTGAAGGGAGGTCACCCAGTTTGTGACGGCCTGTGTATATACGATCGAGGTTTTCATAACGGAGAACAGTAGCCTCCATAGCATGCCAAAAACTGGGGTTTTTGGGGTCTTCATGGTCTTTGGGAGCTTTTATGTGCTATTTTCTGATTGCATATATACAACATAGCCGGTCTGGTTGAATTACCCCCGTTTTCAGAACTGGGCTAATCAGAAAAAAAGCCGAAGACCACAAAACCCCCAGTTCTATAAGCCTGCTACGGAGGCTAGGAGAACAGCTAGTTCTGTAACATAACAGGATTTATACAAATCCATCTCGACTGTAAAGGCTTCTTCAATCCTTCATACCGCCTGGAAAATGTTTTAGAGTGTGCCTCGTGCCGTGGTTGTTTTATCTGCTAATTTTTCAAAACACTCCAGTTGCAGCTACTCTCCGCCAATTTGGCGGCTCAAACAAATCACCTTTTCTAAAACGTCGGTGAAGGTTAGACATCCGGGCAGAACATTACATCATGCAACATAAATCAAATAACTGGGGGAATTCTCTGAGGAAAATATATCCGGCTGCTTGATTTATTTTGTATTAACGACCTTTAATGAAATGGCCCAGTTAACTGTACTTTGCAGACATGCAAATCTGTAGATGTGTAGTATGGTCAGAGATAATGAGAAGGAGAAAATGTGCGCTCTTAGAGGTCTACATGCTCTTCCTGCCTGTCTAATATGTATTGCTATAACATATTTACGCAAATAATTTCAGTTGGTGAATGATTGAATATTATTCACCACCACTTATTTAACAATTGCCTACATTTCGATGACCGTTGGGATCTTTGATAATTACCCTGATAACGATTACAAATGGTCATCGGTTGTGAATAAAGGACTTTGCAATTCAATAACATTTACATATAGCGTACAACACCATCTACCTCTCAAAATGTTGCTGTTTTGTGATCTAAAGCTATATGACCGGCAAAGGTCTGCATACATTGGTCCTGCAAAATTATTCCTTACCTTCAAAACACGCAATCGAGCGGGTTCAAGTACCATCAAATCCAGGACGAGCCATCACCGCACCAATGGCACATTCCAATGATCCACATGATTCAGCGTTATTGAATTGGTCTCCATCAAATCCGCGGCTTAAGGTGGCTTTATAGATCCATATCGTACCGTTGTGTGAGAAACTATTACCGTTCACGTAACTTGTGAGTCAGAAATAAAACATTTTGAAGCTTTAAAATTACGAAAGTTGGTCATTCAGTTTTAGATATTAAGAAAGAGAAATAGACCCTAGATCTCAGCATGATTGGTCGATGTTTTATTTAGGACGTCAGTATATCCCTCAGGCAGGTATCTGACTTGCCGATTCCGAACCACGCACAAGGATCGCATATAGCAATCACAGCAGGGCACATCATATCAAAGCGCTGCAATGATTGAGCTCGAATGTCCTTTCCTTCGACATGGAGTTGGTAGCAATCTACTCCCCAAGGCAGGGAGGCAAATCACATGTACAGGGTAGTCGGGATGAATTATATTCTAGCATGAAAACTATGGATCTTTTTCTACCAGCCGATGACAGGGCCGCTGACCTCCGGATTTACCTATCAGATTTGAAGCTTCTTCCCTTCTTGAAGTGTCGATGAACCACATGTAACTGTGCAACTATGACAGAGAAATATATTAACAATATCTTTTGCGCTCGGAATAAGGTAGAAAAACCTTCGTTCATTAGAATGGTGTCCCACATTTCGAGTGTTTGCATGGGGATCACAAGTTTTGGGGGTAAACGCAGTACGAAAAGCCGGTGTTGAATCGTTACCGTGAGTGAGCGTCCATACCTTTTAGGCTGACAGTTGTGCAGGGGTAATCAGTCGATTTCTGAATACATCGCTACAATCAATTCTTCACATGCGGCGAGTGGTAAGGGCAAATAAACGATAAATGTCTGAAATAACGAATACCACGTACCCATTTTTACCATGATTGACACTTCGTTGAAAAACGATTATCCTTCAGGCCCCTGTAAGAGTTGGCATGTGCATCGTAAAGATTCCTGTGAGGTGAACATTGAGAGCCACAAGCGTTAGAGAATTATCAACGTAGAAAGCTTAAGCCCGTGGAGACTGCGGGTAAGGTATGCAAAACGGAAAGAAAACAATGCCCTAGGGGATAAATAAAAAAAAACATAGTACATATGTAGGAACAAGAACCGAGAATTTCATGTACACTCTCCCCTGATTCGTCATGAAAATGCAAGAAATTCGTGCTTTTCGGCGATTTGCAACAATTCAAAGCAAAGCAACAGTCTACTCAAGGTCAAGAATGCTAACGCAGCAAAATCCGACATTTGTAAATAATTTCTTTAGGTTAGTCGTTAGTGAATGATTCAATAGCAAAGTTCTTCATCCCTAACCACTTTACTCAGAATCACAAGTGGTTGTGAATAAAGACCTTTAACTATTCATACTCCGACATCATTCCATCCGACAATACGGTACGGACGATACAATCTTACCTTGAGTCTGTTTTATTCATTTGGCATTCAAAGTGGATCAAGTGTTGCAATATGTAGCAGTGGAGAATATTGGCGGGATTACATTGACAGAGTCTGTGTCTCTTCCTGCTGACTGCCGGCGAAAAGGGTCTGGTCCCAGGAGTAGAGTCTGTCTGCTGGCGATCACGACTCCTGGATGATGCGTCCCCTGCAGGAGTTGTTGAGATGGTAGAGTCCAGACACGGCAGCCAACACAGCGGCCCTACGGCAGGCAGTATGCGGTGGTACACTCTCCCTGTCCCTGGTGCTGATCTTTCAGTTGCGGTAACGTGGGAACGTTCGCAATAATTGCTTTCAACTGTCAAACACTTTTTACCTTCCAGGCTGAGAGGTTTTTCCACGGGAACTGCCAATCTTGAGGTGATAATGAGGTATTTGCCTAGTACCGACGAGATGTAATAGTTTTTGAACTGCCGAACGTTTTAGCAGGCCTAAAGTGTGCTCAGAACTGCCAACGACGCTGCGGGGATTTTGCGCCGGGACTGTAAGTAATTAGCGGCATGCACGCGAATAGAGCCACTAATCATGCGGGGATGAAGAGTCAGGAAACGCGCTGACACCACGACTGCTTGGTTACACAGTGATTTTCCGTGCCGGTGCGGGACCGCATCGTAGTTGACTGGAAGGCGGTAGAGAACACGTACGTCTACAGCCGGCACCCCGGAGCCAGGCGTCAGCGCTCGCACGAAAATTCCCCATCTGCCAGTCGTTTTCCCGGTGTTTTGCGGTTTTGGTGTGTGACCACACGGTGGTGTGTAACCACACGACTTTACCAGCAAATGGCGTGCCAAGCAACAGTTCTGTACCTGATTTGCGGTTTTCTCGTCATCGGCCTGCTCCAAAATAGAGGTAAGTCCTTCTTTACCGTCCACTTCTATATTCAAGCTGAACTGCTAGCGTTGGCGTTCTCGTATTTCTTTCTTTTCGTACGTTTGAGTGGTTTGTAACGCTAGATCTACGCTGTTATCTCCGGGCCATACAAGATCTCTAAGTCGGTGGATTTTCCCTACACAAACGTAGTACTTTTCAGCCTCTGCAGTTATTACTCCCACAAATACAATCTCGTATAGGCCAATAATTCTTGCCATGCGTTTTGACTACCCGTGCAATAATTGTATAGAAGAGCCCGTAATGTGGCCATAAAGGGGGAAAATGTTATACGTAGAGCGATCTTTGTAGTGTAGATCCGCATTACGCTAATGTAGGTCCTCATCGCTCGGGACTACACTGGCTGGATTTGCGCTTTTGAAGTGGAGCATTGGGAGAGCAACGAGGCCATTGTGGTGTAAAATTCGATGCGACTTTTGACTATTGAGGGACATCAAATAGCACATAAAAGGTAATGCATCACGGCCTTTTGCCTACACTTCAATACTCCAATCCCGGGCATCGCTCACGGCATGGTGCCACGACACACGGGCGCGGTCGGCTAGCTTGCCGCCTTAGGGTTGAGAAACAGAAAATGGATATGGACATCTCTAATAGATAGAGGTATACGCGTCCGAAACTGCATCACTAGCAGTATTGATTTGGTCAAGTGAAGGGCGACAGATAGCACGGATGATTCAGTAGCCTGTCGGGAGAATATTGACCTTGGAAAACGGCTTGTGTATTTTCTTGTCGTGAGCACATTTAGAATGATTTCCTATCTTCTTTCCTCGCGGATAACTTTGTTTATTTAAAACTCTGTGGCCGTCTCGCCATTCCAACGTTATTACGTACCTAATTTCATTGCGGATAACTCGATTTGGCGAAATGAAAAGCTTCTAACAGGGAGAAGGCATTAACAGTTACATAAAATATTAATGTTACACAAATGTTACGGTGGTCATAGGCAGGCAATACATTCAGCACTGATAAAGAGACAGATGATGCATATTCGTAAAATTACGCTTAATCAGGTTGTTTTTCTACAGTAGGCCTAGGTTTTAGGGGCACGGACGTGGAATAAAACCGCTATTAGATTCCAATTTGATTCCACTAAACTTTTAAGATCGTGGCCTTTTTAAAGGGAATTTAATGGCAGTACTGCTACGCATATATATCTACGTTGCGTTGGGTTTTTGATCAGCGAATTCTCACATCAAGAGGCTTGCAATCGCAGAAAGCCCCGTCATATTGTCTGACGGGGTGCAGCCGGCCGCTTTCAACCTGACTCCTAAAAGATGTTTGACTTCTGCTCTGCTCTGATCACGTCTGACCATTATTTCAGAAGACGTTCCAATTTATCAACTCGCACGCAAGCTTCGATTTCCACTCCCCGATACCGCCGGTACAGCCGGCACTGTCAGTACTGACTGTTGGGAGAGCAATGCCTTTTTACCCCCATGAGAAATGGAGGTATTGCGCGTCTCTCTCTCTCTCTCTCTCTCTCTCTCTCTCTCTCTCTCTCTCTCTCTCTCTCTCTCTCTCTCTCTCTCTTTCTCTCTCCCTCCTCTCTCTCTCTCCCTCTCTCTTTCCCTCTTTCTCTCTCCCTCTCTTTCTCTCTTCCCCTCTCTCTCCCTCTCTGTGTGTGTATGTGTGTGTATTGTTTTTCTTTCGGGATTCTTTCACTAGCTGTACATTGAACTTTCAAGACTTTGAAAACTTTAAAATCATTATATACCCTCTTCTTCAAAAACTCCCGAACGCTTGTGTACTTCATTTAATTTCTACTGTCCCACCTAAGATATGCTCTCGTGCCCATCTTCCCTGACTTTTGTCGTACAGACCTTAATTTGTAAGCCTTGTTGATGATAATTACCCTGTTTGTGAAGTAACACTCGAGTCATCGTCTCCTAGATTACCCCGGCAGAGCCGCTCTCACAGACCATGCAAAGACGTACTTTCAGTTTGCACGGAAATTACCGGATTTGGCCAACAGTATGTGCGGAAATAGGGCAACGGAAATGGGGCTGTTTCAAGTACGAAGAATAATGTATAAGGTCGGTTACTTCAAGGACGCACCGTCAAGATCTATTATTCATCTGAGGATTCTGTTCCGGCGAAAGATCTAACTTTCTGGAGGAACCTTATTGGGTTGAGTCGGTTCGTTAGCTGAACCGTAACGTTTTGGGGTTTGATGCGATGATGATGTTTTCTTGATGATTACATTTCCAAGGTTGTAAGTACTTAGTGATTAGTTTGCTTGTAGCTTGATTGGATCCAGCCATTCAAGCGGAATACTTCCACAAATAACTTGATTTCGAATGTGTACACGCCGAGAAAATCATGTCTTCTTTTAATATGTCTGAACGGTATGCATGTATGCAGACTGTATCCGCACGGCGGCTATAGTGGTGACAGTTCCGTGGCTGCTGCACGTCGTAAAACAGTTTGTTTTGTCGTCCATTCCCAGACGAACGGCGCCGAAAGTATTCCTTTCCTGATGTTGCAAACTGTTCCATCTCCGGGGATAAGCCCCTTTCTTTCTGCCGTGCCGTTTTGGACTGTACGCCAGTACGGGGCACGTAACGCGCGGACGTATCGCGAATTGATGTTTCACAGACTAGGCTGACGGATGTCCAGGTTTAGCCCACGTGTAGCCACTGTTCTACCAAGGGCCCCGGGCTACGTAACGAGCATAGTGTCAGTAACTTTGCGAGTCTCTAGCTTTCTTATCTGATCGTCACGTACTTTATAAAGTAGCGGATCCTGCTGTTGAACAGATGTGGGTGCTTTCGTGAAGATTTCAAACTTTGTACGTCAAGCGTTATAAGCAGTATTCTAGTAGTAGCAGTAGACTAGTCTGACGGATGTCCAGGTTTAGCCCACATGTGACCGCTGTTCTACCAAGGGCCCCGGGCTACGAGCAAAGTGTCAGTAACTTTGTGAGTCTCAAGCTTTCTTATCTGGTCGTCACGTACTTTATAAAGTAGCGGATCGTGCTGCTGAACAGATGTGAGTGCTTTCGTGAAGATTTCACAGTTTGAATGTCAAACGTTAAAACCAGTATTTTTAAACACTGTAACGCGACGCTCACGTGCTCTACAAGCAAACATTTAGGCTTCGGCCAATTTTTTTACGTCTTTTTTGGCGTTTTAATTTTATCGGAGTTTCCTTTTTGTACAGGTATCTTTTTACGTAGCATATGGATACTGCCATGCCAATTTGATACTGACTTGCAGCTACAAAAAGATCTGCTTGGGGATTAATGCTTACGTACAGGGCAGTAATTGTTACATACTACAAAGTCTCTGAAAATCGTGCCGATTATCGCAAAATAGGCTGTGATGTAGCAACTTCTAAATGGGCGTTAAAGAACGCATTTACAACCGTGAGTGATTTCACTATCTTCAGATAGACACAGTCATACAATACTTAAATTGGTCCATCTGTCTGAGCAATTTTCCAGCAACATAATTGCCCTTGACTCCAGACTCACACATCAAAGCGTCGTTCCCTCCAGAGAATTCAACACGAGCGGTTTTCGACTACTTTAAACCCCGTGTTCACCTGCCGTACTTAACGTATTGTCTTTCCTGTTTTCGCACGGCGGCCTTTGAAGATGTCGGCGTTTTAAGGCGTCACTGTTGATGCTATCATCACCCGGCACGCACAACTTGTTATATCTGGCGTTATCAAGGGCCGTTCCGTTAGATGTAGATACACGGTATGTGGAGGGAGAGATAGATCGTACGTGCTTGAAAATCTACAAATCTAAATCATTGTGGCAACGTGTGGCGTAATATTTTGTGTGTTTGGCCCAGAACCGATAGGTTCTGGGGTCGAATCCACCAACATGCCTCGATGTTGTGCCCTTGGGATAGACAGTAGTAGTGGTAGTAGGTACCCCTTTATCTCTAGAGTAGTAGCATTCTACTGATGATGGTGGCACTCTAGCTACGTCTCGTGTTGTGGGCGCGTGCAATGTCTATCGTGGCTAATCAGCCGTATCTTCGCATGGCAGTCCGGGCCACAGGTAGGACAAGAATGTTGAGATATGGAAAATACATGTATACCAGGGCAAAAAAAACGGTCTGGAAGAAAACGCGTCTTAAACACGTCTGGAGAGTAATATTTAAGAGTGGCTGATCATTTTCACGACTTTTTCCCCGAAGAGTCTACAAATAAAACACGTTTCTACGTCGAGTCGTGACTATAGGACAGACCAGTGGTCACCTGGGACCGATTAGCAGTTCCATGGTGCTCATTACTTCCGTTAATTACGATGAAGCTCACGACAGCGCGTATGTACAGGATGCAGACCCGGCCAGGCCTGGTTTATATACATTTGGGACACATTAATAGCGCGGTGGTCGTCATTAGTAAGGACGTCGATGGTCAGGGAGGTTGAATGGGAAAAGTTGATTTGAACCTGCAATTTCGATCGTGAAGACACAGTGATACGTACACAACGACGCAGAATAGCACACACCACACACACGCGCGCGCGCGCAAAGACACGCGAGCGTACGCGCACACGCACACAAACACACACACGCACAAACTCAAACACGTATACAGAGAGAGAGAGAGAGAGAGATAGACAAACACACACACACACACACACACACACACACACACACACACACACACACACACACACACACACACACACACATGGGGCACGTGTGCGCAACAAAACCAAGTGTTTTTCTCGATTCATCTTTTAGTTTCCACCGAAATTCTTTAGCCGGTATTACGAATAATCCTTTAAAACTGTCATTAACTCCGTTACCAAAAAAAACCTACTCGCTGACAGCCCATCCCCAGCTTGTGAATTATGAATGAACCAGCCCGGAGCTGTAGGCGTTACACAGTGCCCCTGCTGTGCCGGAGGATTAACGTAAACGTTTAGCTTGTGAACACTTGGATACACGTGAAGTAAAAACAGCCTAATGAAGCGCAGCATGACAAGATAAAAGGCA